GCAACTTATTCAGTGCTATCTGTTGTTCTAGGGGGCTAGCATGATTGTCATCACCTAGTACTCGCCTATGCACATCATCGTTGCGGACACGCTGGTGCCATCCGACACCAGCAATGCTTCGCAGACAACGATGATCAAAGACTTGAAGGCGCCTCAGATCTTCAGGCCGAAGGGGCCAAGTCTCACTACCACAGAGCAGAACGGCCCTCACTGTAGTCTTGTATACACGGCCTTTCAGACGGAGCGAAACTCCTTTCTGTCGCTAAAGATGCCGCAGGTTCAAGAGGGTAGCTCTGGCCTTTGCAATGCTTGAGCTCACGTCAGTTTCTATGCGCCCATCACTGCTGACGCAGCTGCCAAGATAAGTGAAATGATCAACCACCTCGAGTTCCTCGTTAGCAAGCGTCAAGGGGTAATCAACCGGCTGGTGGTCCTGCGGCAACACTTTGCACTTTGAAGGTGCGAAGTACATACCAAATAATGGGACCAATACAGAGAGGCTATTCAGTGTTGATTGTGCCGTCTCAACATTGTCGAATAGCAAGAAAATATCTTCCGCATAATCTAGATCAACTAACCTTTCACCAGGCAGCACTTCAAGGCCTACATCATGAGATTCCCAAAAGGAACACTCATGACAGCATCCACGACGAAATTGAACAAAAATAGGGAAATCGGACGACCCTGACGAATGCCACTTGTAGTCGAAAAGCTATCCGATAGGACACCATAGACCCTGGCGCGGCCTGTAGTGTTCGAGTATAGAGCACGAACGATGTTCACATTTTTCGTAGGAACACCTTTTCGCACAAGTATTTCGAACAGAATCGATCGATTGACCGGGACGAACTCATTCTTGTAATCGAGGAACACAGTTATTGTCGGTCTGCGGTAGGTGTGGCGCTGCTTTTGCACCTGCCGCAAAGTGAATATATCGTCCATACAGCCACGTCCTGGGCGGAAACCGGCCTGCTCTTCCCTAATTCGAGATTCCCGTACCGCAGTGAGGCGACGAACGAGAATCAAGGCCACTAATTTTTCCACAACTGGGGTTAGGCTAATACCCCCTGTGGTTAGAACAGGCTGTGCGACTGCTCTTCTTGTATATTGCCACTAAAATCGATTCGCTCCAATGAGCCGGGACAATTTCTTCCTTCCAGATACATTCGAATAAGGAGGTCAGTGCTTTGCAGAGAACCTCACCTCCATCCTTAAATAGTGCAGGTGGGAGGGAATCCGGGCCAGCGGCACGAAAACGATTGAGGGCTGTGATCGTGTTTCGGACCTCGGCCTCCGACGGAGGCTCTAAACTAACCGTCCATGGCTCGTCCTGCATCACCTGAGTAGGAAGAGGTCCAGGAGCATGGGGCCAGCTGGACTGATCTTGAAAGTGTTCCGCCCAACAAGCCATACAACTCTTTTTATTGTAAATCAATGCACCAGCGCTGTCCCTGATCGTCTCACTGACGCCTGAATTTCTGGGGTCGGTGGTGCGGATCAACTGGAACAGCTTGCGGTAATTGCCTACTGCTCCTGCCTCCTCCATTTCTTGAGCCCAACTGGTCCACCTGGCTTCCTTTTCAGCACGTAGGCTCTGCTTTAGTTCACGCCTTATAGCCCGTCTGGTCACATTGTGTTCAGAGCCAGCGGGGACGTGTATTCTGGGTTCCATCAGATTCACGGACCTCTCGGATATCCAGTGACTGGTGCGGTGACCATGGATAGTGCCACAAGCAGATGCTCCTGCGTCGTGCATGGCGGCCGAGATCCTATTCCACTGAAGCTCAGTGTCATTAGGACAAGACAGCGGAAGTTCGGCATGCAGTGCTTCTTGATAGGCTTGCCTGACCTAGGACTGAAACAATTTCTCCGTTGCCAATCTGAGGAGACGCTTGGTGCGCCTCCCGGTAAAGTTCATGGAGAAACGACGAGGTACCAAGGCATGATCGGAGTCGACACAGGTACTCCAGTACGAGCGGCAATCCAGGATGGAACCACGCCATCTGTAACTTATGGCTTTGTGGTCAATTTGGGTCCATCGCTGGCCAGCTACAGGTGGACACCAAGTGGCACTTCGGCGCCCACTGTGTCTAAAAGCAGTGCTAGTAAGAAACAACTGGGTGCTCCGCACACAATTGCAGCAGACGCTTAACGTTGCCAGTCCGTTCGGTGTTAAGCCGATAATTACCACCCAGCTGAGCTTCTGAAGAGCTCAGACGCCCTACTTGTGCGTTCATATCCCCTGCAAGTGATATATAATATTTGAACTAGTAGCACTGCGTTGTAGCGCGTTCATTTCGTGACAGTATGTGTCCTTGACAGCATTAGAACTGCAGTTGGTGGGAGCACAAGCGGCGATCACAAACAAAAAGCGTTTTGTACTACTCCGTGAATCAACCTTAGCTGATGTCGTCAAACGGGCTGCACATAAACGGTTGTTCACTGGAATACAACCAACCAACAATGGCTCAGCCTTGGAGCTGAGAATGATACCTACACCAGCTTGACCCATGAGTGCTGCATCGGCGTCTCCGGATGCGTGTGACCAATAACGAGAGGATAAGCCGGGTGCAGTCTATTCAATAACCCAGTTAGGGTCATTTATCCTAGTTTAGGACACACAACACACATCAATACTCAGTGTGTCCAAGTTGCGTGCGAGTGCAGCCTGTTGACCTGTTTGTCTTAGAGTGCGAAGGTTGAATGTCGCCAGGGAAACGGGATAGCGTTAGCCTTATAAGGGACTTTTGCCGATAGGTGCTGTGGGATGGTGTCTGCAGATGGTCCTCCTCCAGTGACAATTCCGTTGCTGTCAATTAAGCTGGGAATTATAGCAGGTAGCTTAGTAATGGGGGCCGGGATAGGAGTAAAAGAAACAGGTGGAAAAGAAAGAAGGGAGGCGCCAGCAGTAGCATGTTTTCGCTTATCCGCCCTGCTGTATGCAGCAGATAAGGCGACCCTTGATAATCTGAGCAACGGCCGATGCAGGATGTAGTTTATGTTTGAAGAAAATGTCATGGTTGTATATGGGCTGCCATACTGCCAGGACTCCCAGACCTAGACAGAAGGACAATTAGGGTCCTCATCCAAAACCTTTGGCTCAAAAGCCTGTCCACAGCGAGGAAGTGGAAATGATTTGGTTTTACAGAAATGGACGCCATGCCATTTCAAATCCCCAACCTGGAGGACCAGGAGACTGAGTTTGTCTGACCTCTCACCATTGACCAACCTGGTGGGAGTAGCTCTCAAGGTGCCCGGAGGCATCACCCAGTATAGCTCAATGGTCAGTGAGGTACGCAAACCGTCGCACCACGTTAAGATCCAGTCTCGCTGCTCGAGTCCCTTGAAAACTTAAGGCCTTTGCCTGCGCACAATAACTGAGCATGACTCATTCGGGTTTACTTGGTGGCCGGTGCTCAGCAAATGCCTCGTAATTGCGGACGCAGCCTTGCTTTTCCATTCTACTAACTGCATTGATATCTTACACTTTTGATGGTGCTTGTAATTACGATGTCCGTATGGAGCCCTGTATTGATGATGTGTTGCAAAACATCCGTCCTTTCGGTGACCATGCTTATGTTGCTGGTTGCCGACGCATGCGCGTTGTTTGCATAGCGCAAGTGAGTTGCACCGCATACTGGCTCTCGGTTCATCGGCCAATTAGGGGCCATGATCAACACAAGCAAGACTGTTTGTCAGTTTCAGCCACCGCCAGAAACGGAATCCATGTGCCTACTCCAAATCCAGATTAGTAACGATGTTTTTGTAACCACCGATCGATGTTGTTACCTTGATAGTGTACTTTCAAGCGATCTCCAGACGATCATTGAGCTGCGTATCGGAGGCTGCTGCTGCATCTAGAGTGATGAAGAATCGCGTGTTGGTAAATCACCGGCTTAATGGTGTGGCAAAGCTGATGGTGTGCAAGTCGGTGTTTCTGTCCATCCTTATATACGGCACTGAAACTAGGAAGCTTAATCAGAGAACGCCTCTTAGTTGGAGTTATTTCAAAAGCAGAGCCTGCGTCGTGTTCTGCGCATCAGCTGGGGTGATCGAGTTGCTGACACGGAAGTGCTCCGAAGCAGTAGGATGTATCCAGTGGACTTCATGTCTCAGCTTAGCCACCTGAGGTGGCGCAGACATGTTCGCTGCATGGATTCGACCCGGATACCGAAACAGTATTTTTTATGACCGATTGGTTGCAGGGAAGCGGTGCGGTGCGTGGATTGAATTGTGTGTATCGCACCGCAAGCCACCCATGATTCTTCTGTAGGCACAAATGTTTTGTGACTGCCTTATGGAAGCTTCAGCGACAGGCAACTCCGGAATCGGATGCTGCCAATCATATATTCACGTCACCGCTGCATAGAAAACGTAAGTCCGTGCCTTTGAAAGGTGCGATTTCGGTATCTCAATTAAGCTGCTAATCACAAGTCCTTTGGGTTAGGAAATAGATGAGTAATTTGCGTGAGCTACGAAGATGAATTACTTGCATGTGAGGGAGGGCTGATGATCATGAGACGCGGGGTCCAATGTTACTGAAGCATACATGCCTGCGTAAATTACCGTTTGTCGAATTCCTCGAGAAGGTTACGTTCTCCATCATGTTGTCAGATGTTTAAAGCGTTTTATTATATGGTGTACTACCTGCGGCTTATTGACTGCCGTTCTCAATTTCTCTTAACAAACCTGTCTGAACCTAATGGATTCACAGTTAACTGCGGAGTACCACCAGGTCATGATATTAAATGCAACTCCATTCATCTGCCAAGGGAGCACTTTCGCTTCGAAGTCCATTGAAGTTATCACAAGACTACAGCGATATATACACAGGTACACCACTATTTTGATAAATGTTTTTACTCTCCATATGGGGGATGGCATCATAAAAATTTCGCATGAACAATATAAATTTAGCTGTAAAATAATATAACACAAATGATCGGTATGGGGGAGAATGCAAGTACTATAATTTCGGAGTTGCGCTATCCAGCCAAGACTCATGGACACGCCGGATTGGTACATAAATCTGACGTCAGGTCGCTGCTGACGTACAATATTTTGTTCAGGCGGTAAACCACGCCATCTGTGAATTGGTAAGCGCCTTCTGTGGTAGTGACAACTGTTGACTGATCATGGAATTTGATTGTCGTCACTAAAATGAAGACAATTTCGCTATGACATATGTTTAAATATCAAAGCGAAGGGCAGACATAAGTTATAGTAGGTAAATATTTCGTCGGTCGCAACACAAAGCATGCATGAAGAATTTAGATAGTTAAATATACGGGCCCCATAGTAGCACAGCTAAGCTACATTAGCGATTGGTGAACAAAGTACAAGTAGGGCTTTCGTATAGTTAAGTGCGTATATTTTCATGGTATTATTTATGTACTAGTGAGGGCGATCGAAATTTCAACATATCGCAAACCTCTCCGCGTTGGTTACGTGGTTAAACGGGATTCACTGTTTTAATCATCTTAATTCTGGAATTGATGGGTCTGAGATGTGCATCCGTCATGCTGCATTACGTTGAGATCAGAAGTTCATCATATCCAACGTATTATACCAAGAGATTTAAGGACGTATGTCTGCATGTACAATAATCTATCAAAGTAATCGGTTCGATGACCTGCGTAAATGGTTATTTTATATACCAATGACTGACTCTGTTACGGTTTCATTACTCACAAACGTTCCAGCAGGTAACGAATTCAAATATTCTCCTCGTTTCTATTACTCTACCGGTAGGTTTATCCAACATCACCTTCACTGCAGAAGCTGTGCTGAATTAGTTATCATCCTTGCATATCCACAGTTTTGGAGTCGTTAACATTCAACCGAAGGTTCTGCAAGCACTTGCCGATGATCTATCAGACCACTGCCCGTTTTCTATCAGCAGTGTCTACCGGAGAACCAAATTCCACCAGTATGGAAGAGTGAGGTCATCACTCCTATTCATAAGGGAGGTAGTCGCGCTGACCATGCCAATTACAGTCCGATAACGTTACTCTCTGTGCTTTCCAAGGTTATGGAGTCTATCATCGCTGATGCATTCACACAATATCTGGAAAATCACAACATGATAGCACCAGAGCAACATGGCTTCCGACAGAAACGCTCATGTACTACGAACCTATTAACTGCATGTAATAGCTGAACTGAAGCAGTTGATGACGGAGCATTAGTCGATGTCATCTACTTGGACTTCTCAAAAGCACTTGATCGCTTACACCATGAAATTCTCTTTCACTAGCTTCCAAACTACGACATCGGCGACCACGTGTTGCGTTGGATAAACGTTTTGCTACACGAACTTCGGTTGGACGTGAGAATCCGGGAATTTCGATCCGATGCATTGGATGTGGTGTAGCACAAGGCTCGGTGCTAGGGTCTCGTTTATTCTTGACTTTCATAAACAATTTAGCACGATGACTTGTTTCCGATTTCCTATACTTCGCAAATGATAGTAAGATATGGCAAGTGATCAGACGACCGGATGATCATGAATGGCTCCAGTGCAATCTTAACATCAATTCGAACTGATCAGTTTATAATGCCCTACCATTCATTGTAGACAAATGTCACGTTGTTCAACTGAGCCATAAACTTAATTACACGCATCGGCTTGGGGCGCAGAATTTGTGGACCAGATCTCAGAAACAGGACTTTCTTGTGCTCTTACCGAATAACCACAACTGTTCAGACTAGTCTGAGGCAGCTACGAAAATTGGCAACCAGAACCTCGGCTTGCTGCGAAGGGCATTTAGGAGATTTGTTCCACCAAGGTTTCATTTGATGCATAATTTCCACGTACGCTCTGACATTGAGTACTCCATCAAAACTTGGTAACCTTGGTTTAAGCGCTAGCTAGAGGTGATAGAGGAACCAAAACGCAGAGCAAAAAATAATGTCAAAAGCTTACGCCATCAAACTTACCACGGAAGGCTGAAGTTGCTGGCCACTTTCAGCGGACGCTACCGAAAACTGTGTGCAGACCTCATATTAGTGTATTAAATATTGAGTAACCCAAACCACGTATGCCGTCATTTGGTGTTACGTAGCTATAGCACCAAGCTTAGAGATAACTGTTTGAAACTGCTTGAACAATGCAGCCATGTAGAGTGTCGACGGAATTACTTTTATCTTCGGCTTTTCCAAACCTATAACTCTCTCCAAAAACTCCGCTGTATCATCCAAACTTCGGATGTCTTTAAAAAGCCACTGAATAATGTTCTTAGCTCTGAAAACTTTTACAAGTCAAGAAATTGATTTATGCACCCTGCATAGTTGAATACTCAGCTACAACACACACGATCTCGACAATTTATCAGAAAAAGGAACTCAGTGGCAAAGCAATATGACAACGAAAGAGTAGATAAGGACAAAAAGCACTAGCAAGTTGAAAGTCGACTGGTTAGGTCAAGGATGACAGAGTTGGAGTCTCGCAAAAAACGCGAGAGATAAGGGATGACTGACGAGCAGTAAGGTTGTGTACGCGCATAGATTAGCTTATACTTCTGCCTAATAGATGAAGTTGATAAACACTCAGATAACGCAGTATGTAGGGGATGACTTGTATCGGCCAGTATCTTAGAGGCCGGCTTTTTACAAGAACTCTTCTGTGTAGAAACAAGAGTGTTGATAAAAGTAGATATCGAAACATTGCTACATCTGGCTAAATGCTTTAATGATCTGACAACTTCAAGTGCTTGCCAAGAAGACCGGGAAAGATCACAGAAGAACAGTACGTCCGATGGGGAAGATCACAGGCATTGACAAAGCGAACGATCAACTCACGTGGAACGCAGGAGCCACTGAGCTGTAAGGCATAGAATGACAGCCTACCGACTTTTGTGAAAGTTTCATTTACTTGAAGCGTCCAAGATATATAGTAACTCAATACCATACCCAGATAAGTTACTGCTTTGGAAGACTGTAATCCGTCGCCATCAACATGTAAACTGTACCTGGCTTCTTTGTGTAAGGAAAAATGAAAGTCGTGGCACTTTGCAGCATTAAGAGACAGATCACGGGATTTGGACCAGCCATTAAGATCGTTCAGATTCGCTTGTAGTCCGAATGAACAACCGGCGCTTTGGTCATTGATGCCCAGGACGATATTGTCTGCATATTATACCAAAGTCGCTTCAGTTGAAGCTGGCATAGAGCTGACGTAAGTAGAAAAGAGAAAAGGCGACAGAATTGCTCTCTGAAGGACACCTGCCATGGTGTGTAGTGGGGAGGAACATCTGCCACTGAGTCGGGTGTTCTGAGTGCGTTCAGCAAAATAACCACAGTAAATAGGCAATGGAGGGATGTACTCCTTGAGTAACTAGGTCTTCTAGCAGCAATTCGCGGTTAACATGGCCAACTGCATTGCTGTAGTCAAGAAAACACCTCCGATTTGCTTTATTCCCATTGTCAAGTGATGACAGTGCAGAATGTACGAGGTAGGCCACAGCATCTAGGATAGACCCCGAACTACGATAGGCGAACTGAAGGGGTCCTTAGAGTGTGTTCTGGACGGCATCATTTTGAGAATGACTTTCTCCAGAACCTACAAAGCAACGGAAGTGCACGCGATAGGTCGATATTTGTTGAATACTTTTTCCGACACTGGTGTAGTGCTGACACTTCTATAGCAGTCAGCTATCTTGTGTTGCTGCATACACATTGTTTATATACTTGTAAGAGGTGTTGCCAAACAATCGGCACATTCTTAGATAGATAGCATGTCTGGCCCACTAGCTGTACCGGAACATAGAAGTTTCCCTAGATTATTTACAGGTGCACTGTTAGCGGGAGGCAGTGGTTCAACAGACTCCAGAACTTGGGCAAAGGAACGCTCTGGATCTGTAGTAGTATTACACTTGAAGAACTGATTCAATTTCTCTACATCTACATCAAAGTAGGGCGAAAGTGGAGTAACCGCTAAGCATTTCTGCATCCTCCGAGTTCACGACAACTACCGTTCCGAAGAACATCCTACACATACACTTTGTTAAGACGGTGTAGCTCTTCCTTGATACGAAGTGCAAAAGATCTTGCATCAACGCCATATTTGTTCGCAATAATCACGCCTTCTACCCGATTTATGTGCCACATGGACACGAGGAGGCAATACATGAGTGAGCGACCATAGTTTACATTTCTCACACTTTAACTCAACAAGCACTGCGACCCCTGTTCTTCCGTATGCTTGCATTCAATTTTAGGTTACACAAAAGTTATTTGTTAATGCATGCAACGGATGACGCTCTGTAGATGATACACATACCTTTTAATTTTAGCGTATCCAGCCCAACCATCCTGCGGACGTATTAAACACTTGCTTTTTAACCCAGGAAAAATCACTGTTCATTGTCCGTTGTACTTGCGATCTCCCGTATTCAGCCGCAGCCCCACTCACCTATGCGTCATAGCGACTGGTGTCATTATGAGGAATTGATTTAATCAGCTTTCCCGAACCATTGTCATGGTGTTGGTCTGTTGCGGCCACCTAACACAGTAGAAGAGTTTGAATCGCGAATTTGTTGATGTGTGCCGAAAGATGACAGCACGCAAAGCAAATCATGATTGCTCATCCTTTGTCTGTCAAGGAGAAATGAACCCACCGTGCCAGTCAGAAGTTAACTTGACTGAACATGGCAGTGGGCTTATCAGTGTAAACCGGTAACAAATATTCGTCGATCCAAACGGTGTAGCTGTCTGCGATATAGAAGCCAATATTGGTAGCTCGGGTTGTTCAGTTGGTAGTCTGATTTTTCGCCGGGCTCGGTAGTTTGGCTGCAAACGTTTCGTAACCACTCGAAGTGACATCATCAGTGCGCGTGTATGTAGCGGAGCTGCGCGGTAGGAAGCGCAGACGAGCCGTTTTATCAGTGTAAACCGGTAACAAATATTCGTCGATCCAAACGGTGTAGCTGTCTGTGATATAGAAGCCAATATTGGTAGCTCGGGTTGTTCAGTTGGTAGTCTGATTTTTCGCCGGGCTCGGTAGTTTGGCTGCAAACGTTTCGTAACCACTCGAAGTGACATCATCAGTGCGCGTGTATGTAGCGGAGCTGCGCGGTAGGAAGCGCAGACGAGCCGTTCGACTTGCACTTGCCCATCAAAATTGATCACTCTGATTCGTGCGTCGTGGCGTAAGCACGCGTATCTCGGCGGTTGACGTCGTCGTTTGAGGTACTTGTCCGGCATTCTGTTCCGTCAAATTTAGTTGACTAAATAGGTGATCTTTCACCCGTAGTGCTGAATATATGGCATCCAGTTCAACTTGCCGGCTAATTGAATTGTCTGTAGAATACCATGCTTCTAAGAGTTCTCTAACTTGCCTCGAATTTACTCAAACTAGGATATATGCGTCATCTAGGTCGAAGTAGTGGCGTTCTTGGTCGTCATGCATGGAAACCAGTGAATGTGAAGCGTGTCTCCGTATGACCATTTCGTGTTCGTTGATCCGTGTTGAAAGTTTCCTTCGAGTTTGTCCGATATAGTGTTTGTCACACCCCTTGCATTTTATCTTGTAGATGATATCATTCTAACTGCCTGTTTGACCTTGTCTTTCGACTTTGAGAGCAATCTTCGCAAAGTATCATTTGGTTTGTGGGCCTCCCAGGTTCCATGTGGTCGTATCAATCTCGTTGTTAGTTCGGACACGTTCTTGATGTAAGAAAGCGCTACCGGTTATTGAAGCATTCTTTTCTTCAGGCTTTTTCTGATGAAATTTCTTGGATGCAGATTGTTTTGCAATACTCCGTATAGATGGCTCACTTCTTGCTTACTTCTGTCGTGCTGCAGTGTGTTTCGGCCTCTCTGAAAATGCTTTCAACGCAGTTTTGCTTGTCGTACAATGAATGGTTGCTGCGGTAGTTTAATTTCTGTTCTGTGTGGGTCTTCTTTCTATATACACATGCTTGAAATTCTTGTCAGTGATTCTGTTGACCGGTACATCTAAGAATGCTAACTGATTGACCTTCTCGAGCCCAATGGTAAAGTTGATGTCCTGGAATGTGTTGTTGGGCAGCTCATGCTTGTTTTGTATGGAATCCCATTTGATGATGACAAACGTGTCGTCCACGTACCGGATCCACAATTTCAGTTGGATCAACGGTATTGTGATATGCCCCAAATTCTGCATCACAGCTTTGCGTGTTGAGTTCAACCATTTTGTTATGAGTACAATATCAGTCGAATCCGCAGCTGACAAGTTCCATTGGATGCAACCAGGTTTCAGCCAATGGGTGATCTCAGGGTTACAATGTGGCCTTCTCCAATAATTAGCGGGAAACGTGTTGCTGTTTCACTGTGAACAACTGTACCCAGTACTCCTAGCTCATTTACCTAGGCTGCTGTATTTGCGGAGAAACTCCATCGAACAGCTTCTATCGGGTTCTGTGAAGTTATGTTGATTAATACATCTCTCCTAGTACTAATACCTCTTCCATTCGGTGCACTTGCAGCCAAGTGTAATAGGAACCCCTAGGAATAGGAATCTGAAATAGGAACCCATGCTAAGGAAATAGGACAGACTGCCTAATGGGGCGAAGAAATCGCTATTCTGGTTATGCGGCTAGCACCCCGTATGACGTGTGAATCCTTCGCGAGAAGTGATGTGACTGCAGTATTTAGGCTATGCTCTTGTCCGCTAGAGCTGATCATTCTAGCTAACTGGCGCCTGCATCTCATTAAGGCTTGACAAATCAACCTAACTCTCGAGTTGCGATCTCTGGGAAGCTGTTCTGACTAAGTACTCAAGGCGCAGGCTTACGTGGTAATGGACGTATCAGTCGACAGTTGCACTGTGCCACTCCTTGTTGTGTTGCAAATCAGGCACAGGCTGACGAAAGTTCATGCACAAGTCCCAGTTGCCCTATTAGATTGGCTGACCACGGCGGAGCTTAGTGGAAGGCATGTTACTAAAGTCAGCATAGGGCTGATGCCACGACCTGGTCTTTGTTTCGGTCGTCAACATCCGATTCACCAATGCAGATTGGATGCAATCGGGTTCTAGTCATTGGGTGATCTCAGGGGTATAGGGCAGGCGCAAAGTGTGCCTCGTCCTAACTGGGCAAGCACCCATGCACTGATACTGGAATGCGTTAGCGCGGCTCCTGCTGGGCAGGCCGCATGATACCACATGCTTGTGGCTAATGCAAGCCTGAGATGATGTGTCAAAGTCCCAATTTTAGCTCCGAGGATCGGTGACCGACAATATCAGAACAAGCTCAATGTTACCTAAACAAACAAGGTTGGGGATACTTTGCGGTTTTCACACAATGGAAGTCGTCTGGTATTCCCGTTCCCATGGTGGTACTAGCTACCACTTATACAAGTGTGCGTTTGCCACCTGGGAAAAGTTACTTGTGCAGCAATACAAACCAGTACGCGTTGATTTCAACTGTTTTGTTATGGGTTCAAGGTCAACAGAATCCGCAGCTGCCAAGTTAGACCCTCACTCACGGGTATGGTGTGGAAATGGTATATCGATCTGTACATTACAATCTACTAACCTCGTTGATAACTGTTCACAGCTTTGAGATCCAAGTCAATCTCTTCCCCAGTAAAGGCGTAGTTCGCTGTTGGCGCTTTATACTTTCCGGGAGCCAAGTCTTCGAATAGTGCAGTTATCGGAAGACTATGTCGTCGGAATATCTAAAATGAAAAGAAGCATATTGAAATATCCCTAGTCGTAGTTGGATCATGGATCCAAGACGGGGAGCATTCCAGTTGATAGCCAATTCAAATATTTTATAGCCATTTTCCCTTAGGTCGGAATCCACTCCAGCCTTCTCTAGATAGTATATGGGTGCAATTAAAATCATATGAATAAACTCATGTATTTTATTGAATAGAGTAGTTAACCCGATGTAGCGATTGCAAACTCGGGCTTATGCAACTTCTCACATCAGAAGTTAACTAATTTGCGAACGACCTCAACGAGGCCCTAATTAATGCAACGCTAATAGCACAAAGCGACTGTGCGTCTATGGCTGAGCTGCTGACCTTAATTAAGGTTCTCTGTTCCAATATATCCTTGAATTAACTTGATAAGGCTCATCAGTTCCCATTTGGTTTATTGATTCCTAGCTAGGTTTATCGGAGGCTTCACTGTAGGCAAGGATTTGAAAATGAAATTGAAGACCTTCTATTAGCTGCGCCAATCAATACCTTCCTCGCAAAAACGAACCTAGGCTTTTAGCCAAGGGTCCATTTGCAGTCTAACCGTGGAGTCCCTTGCCAGACAAGTGGAGTGTTGTGGCTGAGCACGACCTTTGTAAAACCGATGTAAAGGTGATTCAGACACTTCCAGAGCATTAAGGCGTGTGATAATGCTGCTTAACTGAAAATCCATTAACAGGTATCGTTAACCCGCCCGCGTCTTGCCGTTGACTATTCAGTTTTGTTAGTGTGCATCCGGTTAAGTAACAATCTTAACGAGCACGTGTTCTGAGCTGCTTTGGATTGAGCCTGCGTTTGTAGCCGACTTAGCACGTGGTGACCCCTGCCCAAGATGCTTGACATATTAGGAATCAGCTTTCTTGTATATTTTTTGTGAATTGGTACAGTTTTCCACCCTTGGAATACGCTCCAGTGGATTATCATGTTAGCGAAGGAATAACTCGTTTAGCATGCACAGACTTTCCCCAATTCATCGCTTCTTTCTGTGACAGCTGTTTTGACAACTGAGTGTTCGGGATAATTATTTACGTAGGGCTAGAGACGTTCAGCATAACTTGTGTCTTCCCCTTCCCCTTCCTTTTCAGCGTCCTTTATTTCCGCGTATTGATGAATTATCCTTCTTCGTCGTTATACACCGCAAAGTACGCATAGGTGAAGTGGGAATCTTCTGTCGATGACCAATACCCCTCGTTTTAAGAGATAAATTAAAGGTTTCGCTGCATGCTGATCATTGCCACAGTGGATGCACATCTCATGCTGGAGACCATAGACCATTTACGAGTGGGGTCGATAATGACGAGAGAATATCAACCAAGGCAACAGATAAAGCCGGGTGTGCACTTTCCCACTGCCGTATTTCTAATGGCAAAGAGGAAAATTCTGTTTTCCTAGGTGCGACAAGGGTATAAAGTTGCCATCGGTTGGATTATTAGGATGGCATCTAGCTAGGAAACGTGAACTCGTACGACTACTTTCATCGTGCTCTGTTGAACCTCGATAGACTTCCCGTAAAAGCCCCCAGCCAAGTTGCCTAAGGATACAAATTCGCTGGGCCAGATATTGGCACTCGTCGAAGAACAGAAGTAAATCTTTAAAGTGAAACAGCTTTGGAAGCTCACAACTAAATTCCCCCTCCAGTCAGTGAATGGTGCAGAAGTTGACTGCGCGACATCTGAGTGGATCGCACACAAACGCGTCAGGTCCAAATCTCATGGTTTCAAAAGATACAACTGCGATCGTTGTCCCTTCATGATGGGACCGTTCATTTTCGACAACAGAGTTCGCGTCCACCTGACCGTTAATTTTGTAGGCGCATATATTTTACCTCAGCCATAATCAGTTAACGTTACAGTCTGCCCATTTTAGGCAGGATTATCTTTAGCACGGGTTTATGTTCGATAATCAAAGGAACTATTCTCCCTTGCGGCAAGCTGATGAGTCCAATCACCGTAAACAATATGGTTAAATCCGCTTCAATATAGTCTTATTTACTTCCTACTGGAGATTACTCGCTGCTTCCAGTGTATCATAAACTTTTCCTGGCCATCTAAATATGTTTAGATGATGCTTTCAACTGAAGTTCCCGCAGTAAGCAGAATTGCAAGCATAAAATTACAGGCCGAAAACAGTACAATGTTTGCCTCAGGTAAAGGCTGGCATTCGTGCGACGGTTGAAAGTGTTTATCATCCACAAGCATTTAATTAATTAGGCCGTGTGTTGCTATAGATATGGTCTCCTTTGACTGCTGTGGATCTCAACATTGTAAGATTATTAAGAGAGGGCTTTGAATAATGGCCCAATGCCAAACGAGTCTAAGTGCCTCCCGCCTTTCTCGTACATTAAGATAAAGTAATTATTTGAATGGACATTACTTTGGGATCCCATTTTATCCAGTAATGGTAAGGCATTTGTCTAGCACTTGTATGGTCGTCAGCACTTATTATGTCAAAAATAACGGCACCCAAATAGGTGGCAGCTCCATAGGTACTTGTCAGTATGGCACCAGTGTGTTGCTGAAACACAACTGGTCCAGTATTCACCCCGAGCAGAAGTCAGTGGCAATGGCACACATAACAGTGCAAAATGTACGGGAAGTAACTCATCTGAAATTTTAAGGACTTCTATCCAAAGGAACGAAACTAATAGGTTTGTAGCTCACTACACATATCCCCTTCATATTACTGCTGAATAATGAAGATTTTTGCGTAATTCAGCATATAAAACATGGCCATTCTCAGTCAGCAGGCTTAGGCTAGTCTAGAAAAGCATCAGAAGCCGGCGTTTTGATCTTCGGTGTCTCGTCAGTGGGGCCCATCTCATCGGACCCCTGCCGGGTTCCGCCTCCATCACTTCTGAATCTGTCATGTGTGACAGCCACGGATCTGCCTGATTGACAGTTGACTATGATATAGCTTGGCTCATCTTCCACTGCCATGCACGTTAAGAACCGTGCAGCGGACAGTAGCTAACCTCACGAGCTAGGAGTTCCCACATTGTGCCTCGGTACGGCACAAGGAGTTGAAACCTAAACGGACAGACTTTCTTTTTATATTACTGGCGAGGAGCGAGGATTCTGGTATAATTCAGCTAATTCATGATGGCCACTCTCAATCAGCAGGCTAAGACTAGTGTGGAAAAGCACCAGACGCCGGCGTTTCGACCTTCTGGGTCTCGTCAGTGGTGCGCCTCCCGTCGGACCCGTGCTGGGTTCCGCCCACATGAATTCTGGATGCCAGAAGTTAGTGTAACTTTGCCATGACTTTTAGCAATCATGTGGGCGGAACTCGGCAGCTGTCCCATGGGAGGCACATTACTGACGAGACCCAGAAGGTTGAAACGCAGGCGTCTGGTGCATTTTCAGATTAGTGTAAGCCTGCTGATAAAACGTAGCCATGATAAATTAGCTGAATTATATAAAACCTTCCCTACTCTTCAGTTATATAAAATGAAAATCTGTCCCCCTAGCTTTCAAGTCCCTGTGCCGTGCCGAGGCGCTATGTGGAAACTCCTAGCTCATGAGGTTAGCCACTGTGCTCTGCACAGTTCGTAACTTGCAAGGCAGTAGAAGATGAGCCGGGCTATATCATAGTCAACTGTCAATCACGTAGGTCTGCGGCTGTCACGCATGGCGAATTGGCACTAATTGCTGGCATCCACACGTCATGGGGAGGGAAGCCGGCGGGAGTCCGCTGGAACGCGCATCACTAACGAGACCCCGAAGGTAGAAACGCTGGCGTCAGGTGCCTTTCCAAACTAGCTTTAGTCTGCTTATTAGAGTGGCCATGATGATTTAGCTAAATTATCCCTTTTTGGTTTTTGATGAAATCATTCGTCACGTAGCATTATTACGTGCCGATAATCTAGTTTGGATTTAATCTGCTTGTTTAATTGATCACAAGGACGATCGCTAATGACTGTGGGTTTTTTGCATGGAAAAATGCTGTTTACTCTGTGCATTCGATTTCATGATAATGAATCAGATTTATCACTGCCCACTTACACTGGTCTCTGTCACGATGAGACTGGACCTTAACTTGTTGCGATGTTTTGCGTGCCACAGCAATCCATGGAGGTTTGCTGGTTGGTGCTCTTTACTCCTTCCGATATACTAGATTGGTCAATGTTTAAAGGCCAGACAAACTCAGTTTTTGCCCCTTCAAGCTGTTTGCAAGAGTGACGGTGGCTCTTTAATCCATAATACGGACTCACGGTGGCCCAGCGCAGAAAACCCGCCGTCTTGCGGTCAGACTTTTGAACAAAGGCTTCGGTTGGAAACATTAATTCTTCTCCTGTCTAGGCCTGGGCAACCTGACAGTATCCTACACACGCAATACAAAGGACATTATCATCAAGCAATCTCTCGGTGCCCTGGCCGTCGCAAAGGACAATCAACGGCGTTCTAGCTACTGCATCGTTTAGGGTGGATAGAAGTGAGCATGCTTCTGCTCAAGCCCTACATTCCACTTATCCCTCCTAGTACGATTTTTCATACTTATTTTTCCACTCTAACTTCACCATTATTCACCCTGACTTTAACCCAAATTCGCAGCCCTCCCACAGCTTGCTACAATAATTGGTTTTCTGTTAGTTTCGACTTGTGTACAATCGCATGGCGTCGCTACGGTCCAGCCAACGATGTCCGTTCATTCGTTTCTATTTGGAGTCCACAATTTTCCCCTAAGCTGGAATGCCTCAACGTGCGCAGTTTGTTGCAGATTGACCAAGAGGTAGCAGTTACCAAAACAATGAAGAAGCTTTCGACTGAGGTCTGCTTTTTATTGATAATCCACCGGCGAAACTCGAGCTCTCTGCTTGTCCTGCTTTATCCCACATGCGACACTGGCGGCACATTCTCACTACGTATGTTCCGAGTAGAGGCAGCTTCAGATGGCAGTCAACGAGACGTGGGTATTGTTTTTAGTCTCCGGGCTGTAGCTGCTCTGGTCGACCGGATCCTACTCAACAGCCGGAT